CCCCAAAACCCCAAAACCCCAAAACCCCAAAACCCCAATATTACCTCCAATACTGAACTACCCTCATTCCCATCCAATCTCCCAATCTACGCACACCCCTCCTCCCCAAAATTTCCTTCAAAAACTCTTAAAAACCTTAAATAATCTCCTCGACTACAACCCCAAAGGAACTTCACCAACCCCTCCTCTTCCTACTACCCTGCATCTCATTCTCCACTCCCTTAAATCCCACCTCCTTACTGTTCCTAACCTTCACCCTCTGCTCTTCCTGTTTGAAACTTCTACTATAAACTGTTAACAACTGGGTAAGATAGACTGTAGAACAGAAGCCAATGTGGGAAGGGGTTGGGATAGAGGAAGAGGGGTTGTTAAGAAGTGGAAAGGGATGGGATGCGAACTGTGAAAGAGTAATGAGGTAGCAGGTTTTGATGGGAGCTTACCCTCTTTGGGAATGGGGGGTTTGGACTGTGGGTTTGGAGGAGGGAGTGGTTAGGTTGAGGTGGAATAAGGGAGTACAGTGGCGGGAGGACAGTTTGAGGTAGTCTGTGGTGGAGTGGGATTGAGAGCAGAAGGAAGTGAGGCTTTTGCTCTTGATATCCGAGTGGGGGAGAAGTGGAGGTATAAAAAAGCTTGAGTGGGGATGTTTGGGTTGGGAAGGATTGTTTTGAGAAAATTTTGATTTTGGAGTCCCTATAAGATCTTGGTTTGCTAAAAACATAAGATGGGAGCTTACAGGCAGTTGAAATTTGTTTATGGAATGATCGGAGATTTCGTGAAGATTCTGGAACTTTTAGTAGTTATAACTTACTTGGATAATAAATCTTAGTTTCATTAATTTTTTTGGAACTACTCTTTATTTTTCTGTTTCTGCTTTGGTATGTTTTCAAGAAATTGGCTATATTTCTATCTCTAATTTTCTTGATCTTATTATTTCTGAATTTAATTTCATCAACTGAAGGGTTATTAAAATCCTTCTTTTTCATATATTTATATTTTCGATTAGTGATGTAATAATTTAGATCTAAATTGCTCTTTTTAATTTCTACTATCCCCTTTTGAGGATGTGAAACTTTTAGTCAAGTTATTCAACCTCTTAATACTGTCATTGAGAGTTTTCTTAGCTGAGTATCCAAACTGTGCACTAATCATTTCTTGGACTGGAGTAGACTGGTTATTTTCAAGATCTGAGTTTGCTTCTGATCATCCCTGAGCAGGATAGAGATGTATTAGTAATTTGTATTTTATCACTACTCTTTCGATGCCTTTTAGAAGGAGTCTATAGTATATTGGTTATTCCTGAGTTAACAGATTGAAAGAGCTTCCTTTGAAACTAGCCAGTTATTTCTTACTTTAGAGTATTTCTCTTGAGACCTATGTATGGTGGTAGATTTTAGAATATTTGGATTTGTATCGATATTTTCTTGAAGATAAGAACATTGAGGATTGCTTTGGTCTCTTTGTTCTTTTTGAGATTTATCTTCTTCTCTTTTTCAAACTTTAGCTGACTTTCTTGAATTAAGATTCTTGCTCAAGTATTTGATATACTTATGCCTTTTTCTGTTTAGTTTAGCAGCAAGTTCTATGTTGAGAAGTTATAATTTTATGATTTTAATGAATTAGGAATTTTAGGTACTTATAGTCAGCAATTTTTTTATCAGAATCATACGAAAGTTAATACTAAAATTTGAACTCAGATAGTATTTTTTCTTTTAGTTTCTACGCACAAATGCTTATCTTTAAATAAAAAAGTGTGTATAAATGTTGTATTAAAATTTCCCAAGGCAATTAATAGTAAAACATTGCAAAGAACAGAACTTTGCATCTGCAATATTTTAGTCAGTATTCTCTAGCTTAGTCCTTATCAATCCTCAGAAATATATTGAATGTTTTAAATAGTCTCAAAGATTTAGAATAAGAGTACTCGGGCGAAACCGAAAGATGGACTGAGATATGGCTTACTTATTCTACTCTCTTGTAGTGAATCCATTTTATTTCAATAATTTGTTTCCATATTTATAGTTCAAAAAGGGGTTTTGGGGTTTTGGGGTTTTGGGG